CCCCCCGCCGGGAGTCGGCGCTGGCGGGAAGGGCTGGTGAAGTCCAGCTTTAACTCCCTCCTCCTCGACCCCAGGTAGGGCCAAGCCACTGCCCCGCATGTCCCCCGTGCCGGGGGGGTCCGAGCGGGGACCCCGGGAGGCAGCAAGCCCCAAAGCTGGGGGTTTGCACCCCCAGGACCACCCAGAACCTGCCGCTCCGCTCCCACCGCCTGAGCCCGGCTGAGTGCTTCAGGACCTTCGTCAAAGCCATCTTCTACGTGGGCAAGGGGACGCGCGCCCGGCCATACTGCCACCTCACCGAGGCGCTGAGCCAGCACCGCGCCGGGACGCAGAAGGTGGGCTGGGCTGGGGGGGCTCGGGGCCGTGGTGATGGGCACGGGGGGCTCGGGGCCATGGTGACGGTGCCCACTGTCCTGCAGGGCTGCCCCAAGGTGCGGCGCATCCTGGAGATCTGGGCGAGCGGGCAGGGTGTCATCTCCTTGCACTGCTTCCAGAACGCCATCCCGGCGGAGGCTTACACGCGGGAGGGCTGCTTCGTGGAGGCCCTGGGTGAGCGGGGCCGGAGCGGGGAGATGGTGCTGCCCTGGCCCCTGCCCCTGCCGCAGCTCCCGGCATCGGTTCTGCCGCCGCCCCGGCTCCTGCGTCCCTCTCTCCCACCCCTCGCAGGAGTCGGGGGGACGCAGGGGGGGGTGCAGCCCATCCTGGGGCACACGGGGACTTTGGGGTCCCTGGCTGCCAGTGCAGGGTCTGGGCACAATCCCTCAAACCCCCATCTTCTGTGGGAGAGCTGCCTGGGAGTGGGTGCTGGCGGGGGACACAGGGCTGCCTGCATCCCTGGGGGTTGTGGGTGCTGATGGGGAGCAGGGTGCAGGGGCTGTGGGTGCTGACCCTGTCCCTGCAGGGCTGCAGACCATCACCAACCAGAGGAAGGGCAACTGCTACGGCGTGGCGGCGAGCTGGCCGGCGGAGCGGCGCCGGCGCCTGGGCGTTCACATGCTGCACAGGGCCATGTGCATCTTCCTGGCCGAGGGCGAGCGGCAGCTCCGGCCGGCGGACATCCAGGGCGGGCGCTGAGCACCCCGGGGTGCTGGGGGACGCTGTGCTGGGGTGCTGGGGGGCACCCACTGCTGGCCGAGGAGGTGGCTGTGCTCTGGGTGCGGGTTTTATGTCGTGAACACTGGCGAGAATTTTTCTATTTTTCTATTTTTCTATTTCCCTAAAGGGTGATAAATAAATCACTGCAGATTTTCTTTTATTTGTTTTTTTTTGCTAAGAAATCCACGCTGCCTGTGATTTCTGGCTTCGCTCCCCCGCTCTGCCTTGTTCCTAGGACAGCCCCCCGTGCCCGGCGCATCTCTCCCCATCATCGAGTCGGACGCGGCTGAGAATATAACACGGCTTTACTGTATGAAATGGCACTAACACGGCACGGGGCTCAGCGGCGGGGTTACGGTGCGCGGTTTGCCTTGGCCTTAGCACAAGCGAGGTGGGTACAAGCGGCACAGACTCCATGGCAAACAGAGGTCGAAGAGCCGTGGCCCACAGCCGGGCACCGACAGTCGCCTGGAGCTGGCTGGGGGGGTTGTGGCGGGCGCAGAGCCGCGTTTTGGGGTACGGTTGTGTTTCTGGGTACCCTCATTGCAGCCCCCGGCCGTGCTGCGGGGTCTCCCCTGGCCAGGACGGGGTGGGAGGGGTGTTGCAGGGGAAGGCTCGTGGAAACAATCTGAACCCAGGGTCGTTAAAATTCTCATTATGAGACAGGTTGCGGCAGCGGCGGGCAGGGGAGGGTGCCGGCAGAGCACCCCAGCCCGGGGTGCCTCGGTGCGGTGCCAGCCCCGCTCGGGGCGAGGCGGGGCTGGGTGGGACGTGGGCCAAGGGTGAGGTTTCCGTGGGACCGGTTGTTTCTTTGGTTTAGATGGGAGGAAAGAAGAGGGGAACAAAGCAGGGAGCGGCTCCGCTCTTTGGGGTAGCAGGAGGCCGGGGCCATCCCCCGAGCGCAGCGTCCTCCCAGCTCGCGCGGGCTCCCACCCATCCCGGCGTGGCCAGGAGCCCCCAGACCCCGCGATGGCGCTCGGGTCCCTGCTCGACGCTTCTCATGTACCTTCTCGGTCCTGCCCGGCTCCCGGCAGCGGGATGCGAAGCACAGAGGGGAGGAGACGATGGGAGCGGTGGGTTACGCACAGAATGGTGTCGGCAGGTAACAAGCAATCAGACGGTCGCGGTTTGCTTCGTTGCTCCGAGACCCCGTGGATTCGTACAGGAGCCGTTGGCAAGGACGGACAGAGTGGCAATGCGATGGTGTATTGCTGGTCCCCCGGTGTGCGAGGGACGGGTGTGAGCCCGGCAGAGATGTGGTCCAGGAGCGGGCGGTGGGTCCCGGAGTCTTGGGGGAGCTGGAAGTTGGGATGGGCGAGTGGATCGGACACTATGGGAGTCGCTGCATGGTCGCGATGGCTCCGAGCATCTCAAGGATGCGGCAGCGGGAGGGAAGCAGGGGCTCTGCAGAAGCCAGCGCTGCGGTACCTAAAGCGATGGTGGTTGGGGATGTGACTGCACAGACGGTGGCATTGGGGACCGCAGGAGAGGTCAGGTTCGGCGTTGTCCTCCCCACCACAGCCATGCCAGTCCCACCACGACGGGGGAGCTGACGGTCCTTCTGACCGTGCCCACGGGAGCAGGTCACCTCCTCATCCTCATCTCCTGGCCAGGCAGAGACGAGCTGTGCGGGCAGAGACGAGCTGTGCAGGCAGACCCTCGCCAGCGCCAGGCAGGAGCTGCCGGACGCCGCCTGCACGGCTGCTGGCAATAATGGTGGTCCCATCCTCCCGGCCCCCAGACGGCTCGAGCGAGGCGCTGCGGGGCTCAGGGAAGCAAATCCCGCTGCTGAGGCCAAGGAGCCTTTGGCTTCCCCTTAAAGCAATCCCAGCTCAGCTCCTCCGGTCCTGGCCGGGAAGGTGCCGGAGCCGACGCGCTCTCCCTGGAGGAACCCCTCCAAGTTCTTCCCATGTTGCTGCAGGTGGGACCAGTCTCCCCGCAGCCGCCTCCTCTCTGTCCCCGGGGGGTCGCTGCGTGAGGAAAATAATACTACAAAGAAACAGGATGAAGATGCTCCAGCGGCTGCCATGCCATCCCCGAGGGGACGGGGACCAGGTCTGCCGTGTTCCTGCTGCCGGCCCCACGCACCCCTGCCCAGGGGAGCCTCTGCGCTCCGCCACCAGCCTCCGAGGCGGCCGGGAAAGAAAATCGGCTGAGCTCCCGGCGAGGGCAGCCTCCGCCGCACCCCTCCGCTCTCGCAAACCCCTCTCCGCTCCGAAACATTTCTCCCATCGGAGCAGCCCAGTCACCGCGTCCTGCTGCCTTATTTCTTCTCCCCTTGCCCGTCCCCAGCTGGTGTCTCGGGCTCCCACAGGACGAACTCGTGGAGCAGCGTGTTCACCGTCTCGGGACACTCCATCATCACCATGTGGCTGCCCTCGTCGATCACCTTCAGGAAGGCGATCAGCAGGATCTGGAGGGAGATGGTGGCAGCGGCAGGCATCAGTGCCGGGACGAGCCCCCTGCCCGCATCGCCGTGTGCTGGCAGGCAGACCCCAGCCCTCGCCCACCCCCCCAGCCCCGCTCGGTCCCCTACCTCAGCCATTCGCTGGTCTTCCTCCACCGGGACGAACTTGTCGTGCATACCGTGGACCAGGAGCACAGGCACAGCCAGCTCCGCGTGGTAAACTTCGTCACCCTCCGGCCAGTACTGCCCGCTCATCATGGCGCGCAGCACGAAGGAGGACACGTTGAAGGCGTTGCCCTCCTTCAGCAGCTGCTTCTCTTTGGCACCCTGGCGAGCGAAGCCAGCCCTGCGGGACGGAGCCGGCACGGGCAGAGGGTTAGCCCAGCCTGGTGCCCCGGCATCGGAGGGACGGGAGCGTGGGGGACGCTGCTGGCAGGACACGGTGTCCCTGCCTGTGGTGGCTGGAAGCCGGGTTGGCTGGGGACAACCCTCCCCAGCGCCGCGGTGCCGGGACGGCCACTCACTTGAGGAAGCTCCAGGCCAGGCACGGGGACAGGCAGTGCAGCACGCAGGTGGGCATGTTGAAGATGGAGCAGAGGCTGGGCTCCAGCGCCGTCGGGCCCCCTCCGTTGATCATGATCACCTTATGGACCAGGTCGGGGTACTCGTGGGCGAGGAAGGTGCAGAAGGACACCCTGCAGGGAGAGACAGACATGGGGCCATGCTCCAGTCCCCCGAGGATGCTGCATCCCAAGGCAGATCCCAAGGATCCGTGGCCGGAGCCCAGGCTACACCCCGCCGTTTGACGCGTGCTCCCCCCTTCTGGGGCAGGGTAAGCCCAGGCAAACCCCACAGCCTGCAGAGCCCGGGCAGAGGGGCTGAGCTCAGGGTTTCACTCCTGCGCAGACCAGAGCAGGGTGCTGGGACCCGCTTGGGTGCCCGCCAGCCTGGACCAGCCTTGTCCTTCTGATCTAATCCTGCCCAGCTCCAGCTGCCTCTCCTCCCAGCCCTGCTCTCTGCACCGCTCAGTCTCCATCTAATTGACTTTCTTGGGCTTACTCTATTTATAGGCTGTGCTCTGCCAGCTTCCCTGCTGGAGGACAGGCTCTGGGATTAGCTGGACCCAGGGACGCACACCAAGAGGATGGAGGAGATCAGAGCTGAGGGATAAACCCAGAACGGGAAACCCCACACCCCTCCTCTGCTTGTCGGACCCTGAAGCGCAGGATTTGTCGGGCATCTGCTGCCAAGGAGAGGACGGGGTGGGGATGAATCCATCCCTTCCCTCCTGGGACCCCCCGGTCTCTTACCCGTACGAGTGTCCTATCAAGATATTCCTCTTCTTCGCGTAGCGCTTGAAGACGGCCCTCATGTCCTCCGCCAGCGCGTAGAAGGTGTACGCGGCGGCGATTTGGGGAGCCGAGCTGCAGCCGTGGCCGGCCAGGTCGGGAGCCACCACTTCGTAGCCCAGCTTGGTAAAGAAGTCCAGCTGCTCCTTCCAGATGTCCAGCGAGCCGCCCACGCCGTGGATGAAGAAGAGGACCACGTCGCTGTGTGTCCCTTTGCAGCTCGTGATCTGCTTCTTGCAGTCGATGTTGATGACTTTCTTGGGTTTACGCTTCCGACGCTTGCCAGGAGCAGCGGCTGCCTCCCGCGTGCCACATCCCGGCGTGCTGGCGGGACCCTGGGCGGGAGCTTGGCCGGCCAGGTCAGAGAGCTCCAGCTCCACGGTGCTGTTGGGTTCCCCCGAGCTGTTCTGGCAGTGCAGGATCTCGGAGCGGACGGCGTCCCCCAGGTTCTCGATCACCAGCTGCCCGTTGCGGTAGACGGTGATCTTGCGCTTGCAGTGCACCGTGCCCCGCTCCGGCCCCTCAGGCTGGGTCTCCTCAGGCGCCTCCGGGGCCGGGCGGTTGGGCGTGCTGTGCCTGACCCGCAGGATCCGCCCCGGCTTCACCTCCATGAAGCTGTAGCCGTTGCTGGACTCAACGCTGTCCAGCGGCCCCACGGCGTTCGTCGTCTTGCCCATCAGGCAGCACAGGAGCCCATCGGTGATGCTGTTCAGCATTATGCTCCCTGCAACGAAGGCAAGAGGGGGGGCAGGAGAAGGGGGGGTTAATCACCCACTCCAGCACCCAGCAGGGACCTGCTGGGGGTCCTGGCTGTGGCACAGGGGACCAGGGACAGCCCCGTCCCCCCCGCTTTGCTGCCAGCCCCGGGCAAAGACGCAGCGGCACGAGCGAGGGCAGCACGTGCCTCCGGGGATGCATCGGGGCGTGAACGTGGTGCTCCCCAAAAGCGCAGCCCTCCTCAGCCATCTGCAAACGGGCTTCTGTTTCAGATCAAAGATGGACTCAGCACTCCCCATCCAGCTCCGTCTGGGCCACGTCCCCGTCACCGAGCCGGTGCGATGTACGCTGGCCCGGCAGAGATGAACTCAAGGGGCTGCAAACCCAGGCAGTCCCCGGCACGCAGCCGTGGGCCTCCAAGAAGGGATCTGCTCTGGCCGAGGGAAGGAACATGCAAAGAAAAGCCTGTTTGAAATGGGACCGCTATTTCTGGCGCCAAACATGGAGCTAAGGAAAGATTCAGCTATAAAAATGCATTATTTATGCCAATTAAATATATATCCGTATCTCTAGTCTAAACCACCAGTACAAATAGCGAGAGATGGAAATTACAGGGACCGGAGATGAAGGTTTTAATTAAAGTCACTCCGCAAACCAAGGCTGAAAATAATATGGCAAGAGAAGGGGAGCAGCGACCCAGCGCCTGCCTGGGGGCTGGGAAACCCCCTCCCCACATCCCCACCCGGCACCACGCGGGCTGGGGGACGTGGCACTGTCCTTGCTGTCCCCAAGGCTCATTCCTTGACGTTTCCTCTTCCAGATGCGCTCGGGTGGCTTTGGGAGAGGGCTGTGGATGCCGGGACCACCGAGCCCGGCCGAGAGCGAAGCCAGACCCGAGCAAAGGCAGATGCGAGGTAGGAAAGGCTGGTGGCATGGGGGGAATCGGTGCCGGGACCAGAGCCCGATGCCGTCCTGGCGGTGCTGAGGGTGGCTGCGGAGGGGGCTGGGGAGGTCCCTGCCTCCCCTGGCTGGCAGCCTGGTGCGCATCTATTATTGATGAAGCTAAACACGGTGAATTATTGATGCCGACGGGCAAAGAGAGCCAGCGGGCACTGCGCAGAGGGGCTGTCCCTGCAGGAGCGGGCACTGGCTGCCCCCTGAGCCGCAGCTGTGGGTATCGACCATGACCCCTGCGGAGCGGAGAAGGAAAAGCGTGTTCCCAGGGGGGAATTTAACATCTAAATCCCAGTGACGCTGTCAGGAGCAGCCCCCTTGGCTCCCCGACCAACCCCTTCGAGTGCACCCCGCAGGATTACAAGCGCTTTGCTGGCAGATCGTGCAAAACGAAGCACGGGACGGAGGCAGGCTGGGAGCGCGGCCTCCCTCGCTGCGGCTTTATCAGTCACTACGTTTGGGGAAGCCAACACCGTGCCCTCCTCAGAGACCCCTACGGACCCCAACATGCCCAGCCTGGCCCCCGCGTGCTCCTGGGGACCGGGTGGGCTCTGCCGAGAGCCGCCAGCCGGCGGGGAGCCTGCGTGCTCCGGCCCCAGCCCAACACACGGCTCACGGGTTTCCCAGGGAAAAACCAGCCTGTTTGCTCCAGGCAAGCGATCCGGGTAACGGTTCCCTTGGCAAAGCCGGGGCAGCTTATCCGCGGAGCGCTGCCAGCTCTCGGGACAGCAGCCAGCGTTTGATTCTCGCCTGGCTCTGTTGGGGACAGTGGCCCAACTCCCACGCAGATGCCGTGGAAGGCTCTGGGTGCTGAATTGTAGGGGCTGGAAATGCAGCAAAGCCGGTCCTGGGCGCCCCTGCTCCTCGCCACTGGCCGGGGAGCAACCCAGGGGCTCCCTGCGACGGGGCACGGCAGTCCCAGCTCTCTGCCGTTTGGTACCCGGGCTCACATCGGCCATCTCTCTTCTGGACACGGGCGCATCCGTGCAGGATGCGTCTCAGGGCTCATGTTGGTGATGTCTCTTCTGGACACAAGCACGTCCACGCAGGATGCGGCTCAGGTCCTACAACACCGAGAGCTTTCCCGCAGCCCCCCACTCCCTGCAGGCTGGCTGAGCACCATGCTGCACAGCTGCGTCAGCCGCCGGGCTCCCTTCGCTGCTCCGGGGACGGACCCATCCAAGCTGATGAGCAAGAGCAGGAGGTCTCAGAGCCCTGGGAAGGATAAGCTGAACCCAGCCCTCGCTGGCAAGGGGCCGGTCTGCTCTGCTGAGCCACGTTTCCAGATGGGTGATGAGCCCAAGGAGCTGGGTACCAGACTGGCGGGAGCCGTGGCTGGAAGATGCCCAGCTGCCTCTGCGCTGGGACAGACGCGCCACGGCTCTTGCCGTGCTTTCGAGCACCAGCTTGGTGCCGGGCTTGGGCTGCTCTCGATGCTCGAGCAGCTCTGAGCTGGTAATGCTGAACAGAGAGATGGGGCAGGAGGAAGAGCCGGGGGAGAGGGGAAACCAGGCAGACCCCGAGTCTCGCGGTCCCCGCGAGCACAGCTGTGAGCTCTCCGCAAGCTCTGCCCATGGCTGGCGGGCCGCATCCTGCGCCTGCACTGCGTACGGTCCCCCCGGGCTCAGCCTGGGGGACCTGGACATGATTCCACCTCTGATCTCCACAAAGCCTGGCTTTGCGCTGCGCCTCCATTTCACAAGGTACTAATGATCTCTGTATGGATTATAAACAGGACTTCTGGCCAAACCGCCTCGACATTGATTAACTTCTCAGGATTAACTCAATCAGTCCATCCTGTTCATTTCCAGAATTGATTTGCTGGAAGGCTCTGGCAGTCGGGAGCTCTGCAGGCAGATCCAGGAGCCCAGGCTCGGCTCACGGAGCCGCCCTCCAGCCTCTTCGGCTCTGGGTCCGAGCCCAGATCCCGCTGCAAGAGAGGGGCTGAGCTGAGATGCCTGCACTCAGCTGCGCCCGGGCTGGAGCGCGTGGTCCGGGACGTGGCAGTCCCTGCTGGGTATCGGATGGAGAAAACACCACCCGAATCCCATCAGAAAGCGCATCCCGGTCGAGCCGTGCGAGGTGGGGAATGGAGGGACAGGAGGTTAAGCGACTTGACTGGATGTCAGGCTTCGTCTCCGGGGTTGGGAGGCAAAGCATGCCCGTCTCCCACCTCCCACGCGCCTCCTCTAACCCACCGCGCCGTCTGCCGCGGCTGATGCAGCCAGAAACATCAAGGGATGTTCCCTCCGCGAGATGAAAAGGCTGAAAAGGAAACCAGATGGATGCGAAGAACTTTGCAAAGATGCTGGTAACCATGGCGATGAGCTGCTTTCCCCCCCCTCCATCCCGGCTACCTTCCGTCGCCACCCCCGGCAGGGAGCGAGATTTCGGCACTGGTTACATAAGGCCAGGCACAACAATGAGTCAGGCGTGGCGTGAACCTGCCGCCGGCCCCCGTGTCCCGCGAGGCCGAGGACGCAGCACACACGGGCTTGGGAAGGCGGATGGCATCGCCCCGAGCTGATACCCACGTCCCGGTCGTCCCCCCCCCAGATCCCAGCTGCCCCCAGGAAACCGCTCCCAGCAGAGAGGGGATGCGCGGGGGCTGCTGGGGATTAGTCCCGGGAGGATGATTTATTGCCCAGGTCCAGACCTACTCCCGGAGCACCCATGCGGATTTCTCCAGCTTCACCCTCCCTGCTGCTGCGATGAATAACCCGGCTGGGGAAAAACAACTTACTGACCTACTTCGGGCTCAGATTTTATACAACTTGACGGCACCATGTCACAGCTGGAGAAAAATGGGATGAGATGCGACGTGGCAGGGTGGAGGGCGGAAAGCCTGATGGGGTAACGTGACAGGCAGCCACGTGGGGCTGACAGAGCCCGTGGGGCTGAGACAGAGCCCGTGGGGCTGAGACGCAGCTGGTGGGGTGGTATCAGGGCAGCGCTCCCACCACGTCTGCCCCAGGGATGCGACAGCACGGCGTGGGCACACTTACGGCCACGCCGGGACGGGCCAGCCAAGCTGGCTCTGCCCTTGCCACCCCTGCAGTCTGCCCTGCCCCAAAGAGCCTCCTGGTCCTGCCGCCCGCAGTGGTCCCGTCCCCACTGGCTCGCTGGGGACAGCCGATGTCCCAAACATCCAGGGTGCTGGGAATGACAAAAATCTCCTCCTCCCATCCCGTCCCCGCTGGGGAGACCTTGACCTATGGGCAGGAGAAAGGATGGGGCGTTTCTCCATGACGGCCCCAAGGGCAGCTGTGAGCCCGTCCCTGCCAGAAGTCCTGGTAAACATTTGGTCCCAATAAGCGAGCCCAGAGCACCGTTTACCGCAGGGCCCAGTGCCGCAGCTGACGGCCACCAACCTCCCCGTAAGCCAGCGAGCCCCTCCACCGCTCAGCACCTCCATCCCCCTCCTGCACAGAGCCCTGGCCCCTTGCAGGGAATAGCGGGGACTTGATATCTGCTAATTCCTTGCAAATCCTCGGAGGAGAGGTGCCAGAGAGGAGCGTGAGATGTGCCGCAGCCAGAATCTGACCTGCCATAATAATTTGTTCAGCTCTAATCCCTTCCCTCCGGGGCTCACAAGTATTAATGATGACACACAACACTCCTGAGGAATAGGCAAATATTGTTTTGCTCTTCCCAGGCTCCCCCAGTCATTCACTCTCTGCAAAGTGGAGAAACTGCAGCATCGAGAAACGCATAAAGAGGACGACTGTTTAAGCACCGATCTCAGATACGCGCAAGAAAACGTTTATGCCGCTTAGCCTGGGTCCCGCAAAGTAAAATTCCCTCTGGGGGAATGTGAAAAAGCCACTTCAGCTGGTGGCAAGCACCTGGATTTATTGCTACGCCTGGCTTCCCCGTCCTGATACAATTACAGCAGCTTTATCAGGACAGTCAGGAGTCCGCACAGGGAGGCTTTATCAGTCGTACAAATAGAAAACCAAGGAGGCAGCCCTGAAATCCTCAGCACAGGCAGGGATGCAGCCTCCCAGGAGGGGGAGGACCGGTCCCCATCAGCAGGACTTCGCCAAGGGCCCCGCAGGACGCAGACAAATCGCGTTCAGTCAAGAACCGGCATGGCAGGGAGCGCGGAGCGTCTGTAAGACATACGGCAGCCTGGAGCCGCGGCTG